CCCCCCCCTCCTTAGCGTGATTGCAAGCCTTTGTGGCAAGTCAAGACAAGCAATCGTTCTCTTCTTCCCTTACATCTTCGTCTGGTAACATCGCTACGACTAAATTTGGTTTTGGAACAATTAAGTTGATGATACTGAAATTTTGTTTCGGCACGTAGCGTGGATTGAAGGGGGAGAAGCAGCCCTCACGAGCTAGTCGGGGCTGGCTGGTTCGTGAGGTAAATGTTCGAGTTTCCTTGGCCAAACCGCAAGTAAGTGACTTCGTGGATTTGTGCACGCCGTAAGGCGTATTGGCTTTGGTTGTATACGCCATGTGGTGTGGTTTAGTTGATTTGCTGTACCGCAAGGCGCAGTGGAATTTTTGGTTTTAGTTAGAGGTTGTTATAACCAGCAATTGCCCTTCAGGTGTGGTTCTCCTGTTTACTCAGGTTATCAATGTACTTCCTTGTGTTAGGAAAAGTTGATTGAGTACATGTGTACTGGATGTTTTTGGATACGCCATGAGGTGTGGCACAGTTGATTTGGTGCGCCACCAGGCACCATGTAATTCTGCTTCAGTCAGCCATTGTATGTAATAACCAGTAACTGCCCCTCAGGCATGTTTTATTTGTATACTCAGGTTATCAATATATTTCCATGTTTTAGGAAGGTGTTTGAGTATATGTACACTGTGTCGCCATATGTTCCATATTAGCTCCCGCCTAGTTGATCCGCCCAGCTTTGCCTGCTGTACCATCCTTGGTTTTTCTCTCTCGAGATCCCTTACTAAATCTTAGGGAGGCATACTNAGTATTTAAAATTTAAAAACAAACAAGATTTCCTTATGTGAAAATATCTGAATACTTCAATTTCATTTTGAATATAGAGAAAACATGTTAAGTTGCATTACGTGCGAGTAAGATGTAGAATCATCATACAATTACATCTTCTTCAGTGCATTTTTAATTCAGGAGAGAATGTGAATACTGATACATACTCTTTGTATACCATGAACCTTTTTTTTTTCTTGGCACTACAGCCCCAGTGGGCCTAGGCCTACCTCCATGAACTCCGTTCACTTTGGTTTTTCTAGATCTTACACATCCAGTAGGACTCCTTGGGCGAGTGATCAGCTTGTCACAAGGCCTCTACCTGTAGACAAACACAGAAAAACGCACACAAACATCCATGCCCTGAGTGGGATTCGAACCCGTGATCCCAGCTTCCGAGCGAGCGAAGACAGTGCATGCCTTAGACCGCTCGGCTACCGTGACCGGCATATCATGAACCTACCACATTGTAATTCCGACTCAGTGACCACTGAAACAAATAAAAACTACAAACTGTACAGGATTCTTAAGATAATGCAGGATTCCACTTGCTCATTCCTGCCAGAAGTATCCTCAGGTACAGCAGATTTCCTGCACCTTCAGATTTGACCTTAAAAACATGACCCATTAACCGTTGTTAACAACATGGTTCTCATTAATCACTGACTATATATTACAATAAGTCTACAATAAGTCATTAATCACTGTCAGGAGTACTCGTATATTCACAGACAACTAATACTTATTCTTACAATATGATTCATTAATCGATGTCAACACTCACTAACCCCCCAGAATTTCAACCAGGGATTAGCAGGTTTCTATGAAGAGTTCCACCTTCTGAGATACAGTGCCATGTAGTCAGGTAAAAGTCAGCCCACATTTTAGAGGAACATTCATCCATCCTGCTTCTTGTTGGTTTCTTGCTTGGCTTACTCTTCAACCCTCAAGATGAAGGCATATATTCCTCCTGGACTACACAGGAGACAGAACTCTTCAGCATTTACTTACTTATATTTATATATTTATCCTGCTGCATAGTAATTGGACTGAAGGAATCCATCTCAAAGGTGGAAATACTGAAAATGTAAATGTTAGGACATTTGTAGCATAGGGATCTGAAACACACCAACACAAAATTTAACATGATATACTATGGATTCTGGATGCAGTAATATATTCTTCTTAAACTCTGATTTTCCTTAAGACCATAACAGAAAATTTCCTTCAAAACACTAAAAACCATGTAATGTACAATGAAAACAAAATCACTCCAAGAAAAATAATATAAACCTTCAATAAACAGCGTAAAAACCTAAAATGCACAATGATAAATATAGTTCACCCCTATATTTGTGTGCTATACCTTTTAATTAATAAGTTGTTATGGGTAGGTAACTACAGTTTAATGCTTCTGAAAGTGACTGTAGCTCCAAATAAAGGCAGACATGCTTAACTAGTATGTCCACTTATACATATATTTGGAGACATTATGTAGGTGTTCACTTAAACACACTGTATACACAACAGTGTGTTCTGACGAAACACAACAAGTAGTAAAAGTAAATTAGGTGTTAGGTTTGCCTGCTGCCTTTAGCAAAATCTCATACATTTCAGTAGAAAATGGTAAACCTAAAATTAATATTGGTACTTTGAAGATGTGTAACACTAATCTCCAAGAGTAACACAATTCAAGTACCATAAAGAAACAATTAGATCTCTATCCGATATGTGTGTGTGTGTGTCCGTGTGTATATATAAAAGAGTAATTTCTTTGGATATTTCCTTGAAATTACAAAAGATACAATTAGAGAATGTCCTGAAGAAAAGTCGAAGCAAACCAGATATCTTGGGAGAAGCAATCTTTAGCTTGACAAACGGGAATGTAAACATTCTAAATGCAAGTGATGTTCTATAGAAACCAGCTGAAGGTGAAGGTTTAATAAAAATCAGTCTGTTGAATGATTAGTGAATCTGAGTCAAAGAAATTCAGTATACAACAGTAGTGGATGCAGTACCAAGTGGACTCACTCTCACTCCACTAACAATAATAATAGTAATAGTAGTAGTAGTAGTAATAATAATAATAATAAAAGTAATAATGCAACAAGAATACTGACATACTGACCCACTGCTGGGCAACAACTCAGAATACACATTCCGGCATACACGCAACAATGGGAGTTGTATTGTGCAAATGATTTCATTGGTTTTGAAACTCATTTTGCTGAAGTCACTAATAACATAGTGGAAATTGGACAGCAACTTGGTTTCAGTGAGTTAGATTCTGTCGACGTAATTGAGTGCAGCAAAGCGAACACTTATGAACTAAATAATGAAACACTTATTAACATAGATGAACAATGGGCTTATGAAGAATGGGAGGACAACTTTGACAACGACGACTGTGTTGAAGTGCCTGCACGAGAATTAACAGCTGAACAACTATCAAAAATTACTGGAATGGTTGAAACCTTGTCAGAGCATATTATGGAAATTGATCCCAATAATGAACTTAGCCTTACAATTCGCAAAACGATAAACAATGCAATTCATTGCTACAAAGAAATGTATGAAGAGAAAAGGCGAAAAAAGAAAAATGTGCAGACATTAATATTGAAATTTTTAGAAAATAAAAAATTAATTGTGAAAAGCATGAATTTTTTTAGATTATTTCTAATAAAGACATTTGAATTTATTAATCACGTTTTATTCATTGAAAAATGAAGATTTTCTTGGAACCAATTATCATTTTCTGTATGTATTTAGTTCCTTGATTAGTCTGGTTTCAAACAGACCGGGACATTGGCGGAACCGATTACCTGGACTATGAGAGGTACTGCTGTATTATTAAATTTTCCATTACTTTATTTCCTGGGTTTGTTTTTCTTTTGGGGCTACCTTTCACTTCATTAAACCAGATTATTACTAATCTGGATTAATTTTCCCCAATAATTCATCTGGATCAGCGAGGGTTTACTGTATTCCAACAGTTTTTGCATACATCAGAGATAATCAACATCCACAAATCAATAAATTTGCAAGATACATGTTAACATATTCTATGAAGTTTTGCTCAATTAAGACTAATTTTCTATGTGACTTTTCTTTTTATACATTTTGTGTGATACATTAGTTTGTGATATAAAATTTACAGTTCTCTAAAAAACAATATACATAAACTGCATTACTGGTGAAAAATCTGGCTTTTTAATCCACTTTTTTAAACTATGGTAGAGATTTCACATGAACATTACAGTACAGTACTAGAAACAAACACATCTTAAGAAACTTTAAAACCTACAAAACACAGTTTGCAAAAATTGTCTTGAGAAAAAATACCAGAAGTGTGTCACTGAACACTGTCCTGTGTTCCTTGTTTTCATTCTCAACAATACACAGATTTATACTTACAATATTTACAGTACAGAAGCTGGGACAGCGCAGTCCATATTGCGATTACAGGCTGGATGGCTGAGGGGCCAGAGTTTGAGTCCTGACAGGGGCAAGAGTCTTCTCTTCTCCATGTCAAGCAGACTGGTTCTGGGGTCCACCCAGCTTCCTGTCCCATGGGTACCAGGGGCTCTTTCCCTGGTGGCAGAGTGGCTGGGGTGTGAAGCTGACCACTCCTCTCCAACTAGTGCCAAGATCGAGAATACATGGATGTATACATCCACTCCCCTTTTTGCCTTCATGGGATAGTGCTTAATTAGTGAAGCACAGAGACAACTTTACTTTATTTATGTTTGTATTAATGTTATCTTTAACCCACTGATGACAGTGGCCACGCAGTCTAAGGCTGGATGTCTGTGTGCACTCATTCTGTGTTTGTGTTGTTCTGTGTGTACGAAGGGGCCTTGTGATGGATTGATTCCCTGTTCAAGGAGTCCTACCAACTGGGTATCGGATCGAGAAACTGAAAAAGCAGCCAACGTCCAACAAGGGGGGGGGGGGTCAGTATGGTATAGAAAACTCAAATTACTAACAGAAATGGAATGACAGAGCAGCAATGACATATAGGTTCTGAGACCAAAGGGACCTAAGAACGCCTAGGAAAATATGGATCAGTAGTGTCTTCAGTTTAGAACAGGGAATGAAGTAACCAAAACTTATGAGGAGGAGACCAATGGCAATTGATGGGATACAACTGACAATCCTTTGAACACTAAATTTGTGTGCCAACCAATAGAAATTGGCAGTTTTGCCATTGCCACTAATCAAAAATAAAGAACTTAAAAAAAAATGTCAGCATGCCTATAATTTGAATCGCCTGACAAAACAGCCAGATGTGTGTATAAAAATAAATAGACCTCGAATAGGAAAGGAGGTGTACATAGAAATGTACCTCAGTCAATGAACAATGACCAATGAATCAACTATTACCACAAATATTTAATAACAAGAATATGAACTGATATATTTACAGCAACTGTATATGATCTTCACATACAAAAACTCTTATGGCAATCTAATATGGTGAATGTCAGATAAAACAAAGAATTGATATAAATTATATCAGCACTTCACACAATTTCTTCTTTCAGTTTCACTGTTCTTGGCACTATACAGGTTATGTGAAACGTGTCATACTTACAACCTCTCATCTTCCTTTCTTGATCAAAAGTGCTACTTTAATCCCAGTACTTGATAAGACCATCCCAGCCAGCAGTAACGAGTTTACTAGGTTCATGTGGGTGCCACAGCACTCCAATGCATACACTGTCATGAGCCTTCCATTTCTTGTACAGCTTTGTGGTTTTCCAGTCCCATATATAACATTTACCATCAGCATCCCCTGATACCAAGTAGCTGCAACAAAACAGTACAGTTAAACGTTAATACAACAATCCAAAAACTGATTCAAACTACTATGAAACATACTAAAATATTTTAACAAAATTTCTGTTTACAATTTGGTTTCAAAATGAAGGACATGGTTTGAAGCTTTATGAGATTTGAGCTTGCCATGGTGATGAGTATCAAGGTTAGGTCTTCTGTGATGTGGCAATGTGTAGTTTACTAAATGGGTACAAGCATTTCAGTGGAATCAGCTGTCTCCATCTTCAGGGTATAAGACTCACTACTCTATCCCAAAGATGGAGGCAGAAGTTTCCTGCAAAACATTGCTACCTGTTACCTATGTAATAACTCCATGGCATCACATCCCTAAAGGCCGTATCGTCCTCTAAACTTTGTTTTGGCATTTATTTTACAAATCTAATCCACAACATTATGTAATAACTACAGCTGTTAAGAAAATAAATTTCATCTGACAATGGTCATTTCATATAACCTTTTCTGTCCTGACCATTTCTTTTTAAACCACAAATGAAGAGCTTTAAACAAGATGAGTGGTTAGTGTTCAGACAGTGGTGATGTCTGCTTAACATGGATGAGCAGTTAGTATTTCAAGTGTGTCTATTACTAGCAAAGTCTTTGATTTTGGTAGGCACAGTCTGGATTTTCATATTATGTAAGGTACTCTGTTACTTGTCAGACATAAAGTTGTGAATTGGTGACATAAAATCAACATTTTGGACAGCAGAAGCATGCGAACAAGCAAGCAAGTCACTTCTTGGTAGGAGCTAACCTCGGGAAGTTCATAGTTGAAAGAAATTAGAAGTCAACCTGTGGAGACTTATAGCGTGATCAGGGGAGTTTGTTTATGTGTAATATTTGGAGTGTGTAATTCAGTGAGACTGTTATAGTTCCTGTGTTGTAAATCCATGAAGACTAGTGCAGACAGACTGAAGAGAGTAGTGTGGAGTGATTGTAAACTGTGTAAAGCAGCAATAGTATTGTGACATGTCGACCCATTGTTGGTCGACAGGATGTGGAACAAGGTCAGGTAACCCGCTTCTAAGCACCAGCCGGTAAACAAGACTCCCATGCAGGCACGATTACATCATATTGCAGTAGTGAGGAGTCACATGACCTCTGCATTTCCGTGAGTGACATCATATACCCCCATCCAGTCCACTGCTACATAACGATTGGTAAACACCCCTCCATGTTAGGCTGTGATGTCACACAACAGTGCAGTCCGTGCCGTGGCCGTTGCTGGGCAATCGCTAAGTAAACATGTTCCAACAATAAGTGCTGTTTTCTGTGTGGTCAGTGCAGAGGGCATATAATGACAGTATTCGGCAGAACGAAAGTCAGTATCCATCAGCATTTGGCAGTATTTGAGAGTGGCAGAAGCTGGCGAAGTTGAACCAGGAATACAGAAGGTCGCCCTGTGAGAATGTCAAGTGTGACTGGAAGATTTCATGTGTAATACTTGTAGTGATTTGAGTGCTAGTTTCTGTGTGGAGATACATTGCTAAGAGACGAATAGTGCAAGACAGAGATAGTGTGTGCAGTGGTGAACTGGAAAGTGTGTAACTAAGTGGTTAATAAAACCAATTACCAATCTGAATGGGGTCTTCAGTAGACAAACATGTTGCAGTAAAATAATTAATTGCAGTTATGACCTGTAGCTTGTTAAGAAATCCAATTACCAATCCAAACCCCATCTTTAGTCAGCCGCAATTGACAACATGAATCTTGAAAGTATGTGCGATTTCTAATACGTAAGCAACCCAAAAGACATACTAATGAACAATAACTCTTCTTCCATTAAGTCTCCTGAACAGGTGGCCTCCATAGTCTAGGGGTAACGTTCCCACCTCATGACTCAAGGTACGTGAGTTCAAACCTGGCGGAGGTCATGGAATTTTTAAGGGTGGAAAAATTCAGGGAACAAGTCCTCCGGGAGGGTCCTATGTCGTAGATTTACAGCACGTAAAAGAACCTCATGTCTCTAGGAGACCTCTGAGCAAAATTTGGCAAAATGTTTCCAGCCCAAGTAGTTTCCAATGCCTCCGGTAGATGGGGAAGTTACCAGGTACCACTGCCAGTTGAGGGCCGACCTCGCTGGCAGAAAGAGGAGAGTTATCGGGTACCACTGCCAGTAGATGGCCGACCTCGCTGGCAGAAAGGGGAGATAACGGGCACCAGTATCGGTAGGGTATGGCGACAGTAGAAATTAAAGGGGGACGTACAATAGACTATTAGTCGCGGTGCATGAGGAAACCCACCCCCTCTATACTGAATAACTGAGGTCTCCTGAACACTTTAAAATTTAGACCTCATAAGGGAACACACTCAACCATAAAACATTTTGCGAGACCTTATATATATATATATATATATTGACTGAAGCTACAATACAATGCTACTAATGTAAAAACTGTGATTTTGTCACCCTTTTAGGGATTATTCAATTTGTATCATTCAAAAAGCCATCCCTTAACTTTCCTTATGAAATAAACCTTTAGACACAGTTCTTACTTATACAGAATGAAAACAAACCTCATATCCGGTGAGAAATCAAGAGTGCATGCATAACCAGCCACCATATGTCCGCTGAAGGTTTTCTTGCGGTTCATCTTAAATCGATTCAAAGCTGAAAATATGACAATCTTGTTGTCCATGCTCTGGCATGCCAGCCACTTCTGGTTTGGTGACGGTGTCACTGCAGGCATTGAGTGCATTGTGGGATCAGCTATATACTTCATATCCACTGGAATATCCCTGGAACAAATGAATGTTACAATGCAGGAATGGAAGCAAATGATATATATTTTACAAAAAGGACTTTTTACCTTGACATAAAATCCAGTTTGACGAACTCTGGTTTTTCCACTCAACATATGCCTGTTTTTCAGAATTCTGTGACATCATTTTCACTGTACTGTGCAACCAGAGGCATGTTCGTACTGAGCATTACAAACTGTCTCTATTTTGAGAAACTGCTTAAACCTAATCCTTTGTTAGATGTTAAAAAAGGATTAACTAACTAACTCCATGGATCACAGTCCTTCCTGAGAAATGAACATTCACTCACCTAAACAAGAAATGATACTGATAACAGCTGAGTTCTGAGTTCTCAGTTAGATAAATCTAGTCCACATATTCACAACCTATTTACAATCCATTTTAATAATTTGTGCCTATCTTTGAACCAGTCTCGTAAGGATCTTTTGCCTTCAGGTTCTCTGACTAAAATGCTGAACACATTCTTGTCTGTCCCATACTGATCGAGGAGGAAAAAATTATAAAAGAAACATGACTGTGACAGAAGCCATAGAAATGTGATCTGAGGCCTTTAAAGCAGTGAGGATTAAGACTGTAACTTTCTGGGATCTGACACTGTGTAGTTTTGTAGGCAGCCACAACACTCACAACAATGAAATCTTAAAAGCTTACATAACATTCAGCTGGATTTAGCCACTGATGGTCAGCCATCAACACTCATGGCAGCACAAGGACATGTGCTAATGTTTCTACTGAAAAAGTCTGTAAAATACAAATACTGCATTTCGTGAGGTTTGATAGGTAGCAAGAAACATTACAATCAGGAGTCTACTAAACATGTTAGATATACATCACAATGTAGAACTTACCACTCCCACACACGAAGACTTTTGTCATCAGATGTTGTTACAAATCTCCGATTCTCATCAACAAATGTGATTGTGTTAACTGCACCAAGATGACGGTCATATTCTTGAACAATTTCTCCTGATCGTACATCCCACTGTAAAGAAATAGGACACTTTAATCAAAAATGTATTTTCATTTCCATTTTTGTACAATTTTTTTATGTTTTAATTCTTAGTCTTTAATTTTTAAATTTCATTATCTAAGTATTTTAAATTTTAACTGAAAGATTCAATTTGTGCATTTAAAAACTCTCAAAAGCACAATACGTATCCTTATTGAAGAATTAAATGCAAATAGTTAGATGCAATTCAACAACTGAGACTAGTATCACTATACGCCGGATGACGACCCAGTATAAGGGCCGAAACATGTAGTATCAATAAAAACAAATGTCAATACAATAGTGGTTACTTAGTTTTTAAATACAGAATATTGTTATGTAGACTGCATACATTTGTATACATTTATATACCCTATGTATTTTACAGACATGAAATAAAACATAATTCTATGGATCATGTAATAATATGAATATTCTGAAGACTTACACAGATTATTTTCTTGTCTGATGTTCCAGCAACAAAGAAATGTTGTTTGTCTTCCTCTGGATGAAATTTTACACAGTAAGGAATTTTGCGGCTTGTGAAACGAGACATGCACTGACCAGTTTCTGTATCCCACAGCTTGATGTATCGATCATATGCTAAACACACAAGAAGCTCACTGTTATATACACAAGGAATATATTTCATAACATAAAATACATATTATATTTTGGGTTTACAAAATTTGAGACTGTGGTATCCTGGGTTATGACACTGTGCAGTCCCATTCTTTGTTACTACTTAACATCTCTTAGCATAAAAATATGCAACTTGAAGTTTTAATATAGGCGATAATTTAAATTGTGGTATTCTGGTTCGTCACAATGCTGTCTTGTGGATGGTAACCACCTACGAGGCTACACAGCATCATAGCACAGAAGACAAGAGCACAAAAGTACTATATACATTCCTTCAAATTCTATTAACCACCAGATATTTCAACAATGACACATTCTTTTATGAAGATGATCAGATTTATATGGGCATATGAAGATAATGCATAGAAGTGTTTCCCAACTGGTGGGTCATGTCCCATTAGTGGGGCTTAACAACTGGCTGTGTGGGAATGAGAGCTTAATAATAGTAACTTCTGTTAAAGATTAATATACCACTGGTATCCATAATTTCTGGGACTGGTGCTACCATCTGGTCAAAAACTTTGGGCCTACTGGCCACCATCACCCTTGAAGTAGTCCCCTTCTGCACGTATGCACAGTTCTCAACGCTTCTGCAATTTTTTAAATGCATCCTGGACGCTGTGTTCTGTGAGGGTGTTGAGCACTGCCTGCGATTCTGCCTCAATCACCTCAATTGTGTTAAAACGGCAGCCTTTCAGTTTTATCATCAATCAGGAAAACAGAGAAAAGTCGCAGGGCGCCAAGTCAGGCGAGTAGGGTGGGTGGAGGACAACAGTCATGATGTTTTTGGTCAAAAATTCCCTTGTGAAAAAGGAATGTGAGACGGTGTGATGTCATGATGCAACGGCCAGTTATTCTGTCACCAAAGTTCGGGTGATGTCTTCACGCATTTTCACACAGTCACCATAAATGTCATACTAGTATGTGGAATTGGCTGTTTGGCCTGCCAGGATGAATTCTTTGCGAATACTCCCCTTGATTTCAAAGAAAATAATGAGCATGCTCCTGACGTCGTTCTTCACCTGTCTCGCTTTCTTCAGTCTAGGTGAGTTTGGACTTTTCCATTGGGAGGATTGTTGTTCTGTCTCAGGGTTATAACCATAAGTCCAGCTCTTGTCACCAGTGATAACCCTGCACAAGAAGGTTGCATCGTCGAAGACAATCTGATGAAGTGCCTCACAGACATTAACATGCTCCAGCTTCTGAACAGCTATCAGAATCCTGGGAAACTCGCATTAGGCCAGATACATGACCCCAAATAAAATGATATAGAAAATCAGCACGTCCACCCTTATGCATGAAATTCTGTACACTGACTCCCAAGATATGCTAGTATTACCATCTACTGTTGCATTGCACTAATTCGTGATCGAAAAACATGTACAAGATGTTAAGGAAACATGATAAAATCTTGAACTTCTCAGTTTAGATAATAGTACGCCATAGCTCAAGTGGTTAGTCGCTGGCTTCCCACCACACTGGCCCAGATTAGGGTCTGGTCAAGTGGAATTTGTGGTGGACAAAGTGGCACTGAGGCGGGTTTTCTCCAAATACTTCGGTTTCCCCTGCCAATCTTCATTCCACCAAATTCTCCATCATCATAATCACCTGGGGCAGGCTACAATAGGCCAATCAGTGGCTGCCCTGCCGAGTGGACCCAGGTGACTCCACCCACCACTAAGCGAATTAGATAATAGTAAAGATATCAAGTAGTTGAATTATTTTTTCTTCTTTCCATGTGCACATCACAACTTCTTCAACAAACTATGGAATATTTGCATACCACAATAATTCTGACACATTTGCTATAATTATCTGCACACAGCATAAACTCTTTTGTTTAATTATCTTGAAAATTGTACACCATGTGAGAAAAGCACATGGAGCATAAAATTAGAGTTTCATTTTTATTTACTATCAAAACAATTTTTGTTCTGACAAATTTCTGGCAACATAAATTCCATGTAAGTGAAGAAATGAATTTTTGTCTTCATGTAAATTATTAGTACTTCCTGTACAATTTTAACCAAAACTGAAAAATGTTGGCAAATTTTAATAAAACTCCCCAGTGTTAAATATCATGAAAATATCTTTAACAGTTCTTGAGTTGTTACATGCAGACACACTGATGAACAAACATGGTGCAACCTGCACAATTTCCAAACTTTTCATTGCAAATGCACCAAACAGAATAAATATTTTATTCCACTTGCACTATTTTTAAACCTTAATGCTTTATAGAAATAAATGTTATTAGAAGCTTGGCTAGAAGATTATGCATTTCAACCACTTTTGGATATTACCTGATAGGGTAGTTGGTATAGTGACTGGCTATGGGCTGGACAATGGAGGGGTCAGAGTTCAAGTCCCAATAGTGTCAAGAATTTTCTCTTCTCCACGTCATCCAGACCGGCTCTGGGGCCCACCCAGCCTCCTATAGGATGGGTACCAGGGGCTCTTTCCCTGGGGGGTAAAGAGGCAGGGGCGTGTAGCTAACCACTCACCTCCAGATAGTGCCAAAGTCAAGAAAATGTGGCTCTATACACACACTCCCCCCTACGCCATCATGGTGTAGTGCTTAATTAGCTAAGCAAAGGGACAACTTTACCTCTTACCTTACCTTTTTCTTGCATAAGTAGTCATTATAATGAGCAATTTTACAAATTTTATAAATTTTTGGTACATCAAGCTTGCAATCTACTGGGAGCAATGATCAACACTACATACATCCAGAGTAAAACCACTGTGGCACTGCACAGTTTAGTAGATAAGTACTGGCGTTTCAGAGAGACTCCTGCCTCCAACTTCAAGGTAGAAGTTCACCTATCTACAAACAATGAGGTGTCACATTCCAGAAGACCATGACCTGAATGAACAACATGAGATCCCAAAATCTCATTTCTAACCACTGTTTAACAGCAAAGGAAAGCAAACATACAACAATACTGCAAAAAATTTGACTCTGGATACATGTGTCTTCTGTGCAACATAACTGAGTCAGAAGAGATGCATGCCTACAAGTACTACTCACCTGCTGATAGGAACTGTGTGCCAGCATTGCTGAAACAAATATCCCTTACTGCCTGCTGATGGCCATAATATGTTCTGATGCAGCGACGTTCATTATATACTTCCCACAGCTGAAACAATACAAAGCATAATTGACTTGTTATACACACTTTAAGAAGGCTGCAAAGATCCAGTCTACTGGAGTACATATAGCTTCCAAAAGCATTCTGAATTTTTCTGGAAGTCTCACACTTTCCAGGACTATTATAAAAAATACAACGAATATACCAGAACTGTTATGCTTTGCAAATTCTCTGTAACTTGCTTTATAAAATCCAGAACTTCAAATAAATGATAGCCATCTTATATTTACTCACATATTATATAGTATGAAATGGGGAATAATGGCGTGATTTGTGAGTAATGAACATGGCAGGAAAAAATAGTTGTACCTTAGCTTCTGGCAGGAAAGAATGGGAAGATCTATAACGAGTCTCCCAGCTGAGATTTCAACCAAGACCTACCAAATAAAAATCAGTTCTAATTACTGCACCATGTCATTCAATGAAGGCTTGGTTGATGACTGATTCTGACAATTAACTCTTTTAAGTTAACAACAAAACTTCAAATTTTGAATGTATAATTTATATCTCTTTGGAAACCACAATTTTAAACTTTTAGTTCCAAACCTACAGCTGCGGGCAACAGCTGTCATATTTAACATGAGTACATATCAACTACATGCAATGGAAAAGAATCTTCTCAGGGTTGGCCACATTCCAGTTGTGGACTTTGCATGGCTGCCTCACTTGCATCCATGGGAAGAGAAGGGGTTGAGAAGCTCAGACAGGAACATAAGACTGGACTGTTGCAGATCTAGCAGAATTACCTCATAAGGGTTAACGAGAAGGAAGAGGGTTGAAAAGCAATGGAACCATTGGTTTTGATTGTTGCAGACCTGAAGTACTCCCTCCACTAGTGCACAAGTGCACAACCTAGTCCCGGTGCTTTCAGAACACTTGGAATAGCACTGCACAGGTTCATGGCATTTAGATAAGTTTTTGAATGTGTGATAAGCCAATTATGCATGACCTCCTTCAACAGATGGTCAAGAGGTCAATGAAGTATTTTAAGCATTTTTTAATAAGCAGAAATGCATAATATGCACAGTGAATGCTGTTACCACATTATGGTGACAGATGGTGTATGCTTGCAGTTGTTGGGCTTTTTAACTCAAATTTTAAGGAACATTTGTACAATTTAAAAAATATATTACATGCAAATTTTCACAGCAGATCCAGAGGCTACATCCAGCTTTCAGGATGCTGTCTGCCCATCCATGTCAATGTGATAACTGAGAAGAGCAGTGAGATAAGCAATGCTCTGCAGTTATGAAACTTCAAACACCACCTCCCCTTAAAATTCCCCTTTTGGGGGTCAAATTCGAGACTCGTAAATAATGCCTGCTACTAAATCAAAATCCTATCTACACAGCCAAATTACCTTAACTCTGCAGTCCATACTGCAGGACAACAAAAGGTGTGCTGTCTTCGGAAACCAACGTACAGTAGAGATACCCTTTGTATGACCCTGCCATGTGTGGATATGTGATTTTGGAAGAAAGCACCGTTCTGGGGGTGAATCAGATCGTAGATTTACACCCACATCTTGTGGTGCATGCAGGAATGAACGGCCCTGGTAATCCACAACATCTCTGACTGGAAAAGAAAATAATGGTAATGTCACAACCAGTAAAGACAGACAAAGCATACATTAAAGGAACAAATATTAAAACTGAGCAAGAATGAACAAATCTGTTACATTTAAAACAATATTTGCACTGTTTCCAAAGCAGATAATAAAATATAAAGCTGCAAATTGAGTTTTCAAAATATCTCCTAATTATGAGAAGAAGTCAGATTACTCAATTGTACACATTTCATAACATTATACAATGGTGATGTATTACAGTCACATCAATCAAGCTAAAAATGTGTTCATTACAATGAAGAACATACAACAAAACTAAAAATGTACAAATAATGCACTGTATGTGTATGAATGCAATGCATGCAACAATTTTATAAAAATACAGAAAATGTTCCTCTAAATCCAATGTAGATTATTTATTTTAATCCTTTCAATTTATTCTTTTCAAAACAAAAAGAAAATACTAGACAAAATGACACATACGAGATATAAATTTCATACATATTGATAGTTGAGTTTCTCATGGCAGTAAATATTAAGCATAAGATCCTCTGAGATGTGACAAAATGTGGTCTGGTTGACAGTCATTAACATTCCAAAGAAACCTGCTGCTCCATCTTCAGGGTATAAGCAGTAGGAACATGAAATTTTTAACCTAAGATGGGGGCAGCAGCTTCCTCCAAAAAGTTGATTCCTATCTATTTGACTACAGATGTCACAGCATGATCTTCAGCCACTTTGGTTACAGAGTCTCGGAGCTATCACCTCCTACCATGTTAAGAAATAGTAATGAAAGTGGAGTAAAAGTAATGTAAGGGAAGTGACAGTCAACATAAAATTAATGTAAGGAGGTGAGAGACAACATAAAATAATATAAAAAAAGGTAAAGCTATCCCTGTAACAGGCCACAAAGGTCCATAGGGTTATGAGACATAGAGGATCCCACAGTCTCTAGACAAATGGCTCACAGATGGTGGTAAGATTGTCAGCCTCATATGCTGGTTGCCCTTTACCCCCAGGAAGATTTCTGGTAGTCATTTCTGTTAGAGGCTGAGTCGAACCCAGGGCCACAGTACTGACAGAAGGATTAGGTAAATTGAAAAAAAAAAAAAAATCCACCTCATCAGGACTCAAACCTGTGACCTTCTGGCTTGTAGCACAGTGCCTTAATCAACTACATTATTGCGTGCCCTCACATAAAATAATGTAGGGGATATCATGACCATCACAGAAGTAACATAAGATGAGTGACAGCCAATACTAAAGTGATGAAAAGAAAGTGACATCAAACATAAAATCCATTCTTCAAAGAGTCAGCTCAATTTCAGCTGCTATATTCGTGGTTTATTTAATGAGACTGTGAGTAGCTTTTACTAGAGTATTCAGCAACAAATGGTAGGACGATCAGTGAATAATGAATTGAGAAGGATGTGGAAGAAAGCAGATGTGGCCTAATTTGAGGTACCATAATGGTATTTGTTGGATGGACTGAGAAAACCCACACAAAATATTAGTTACAAACAGCTAGTGTCTTGGACACAAGCCCACAGCTGTACAGTTCTACCACCCTACTTGGTCATTTTTTGTGTTAAAATATAACCAATGCCATTTTAATAGAGACTTATGGAAAAACAAAAATAAAGACTGAATTTACAAAATGAGCTCAGAAAAACATTTATGAAGCTAGACAACTGCAGCTGTACCTAAGAAGGTATACAGAGCCCATCTTCAAACGAGACACTAGATAACAATAAATATTCATATGTAGTTTCCTGCTCTTTCTCCTCAGAATCCAGGGAATGAACCTCTGCTACATGAATGCTAGGAGGAACCGAAATCTGTTCTGAATATGGTAACAAAGACAGAAGATCATGTGAGATTTGAGTCTAAGATGAGACAAGACAGGCAGGGTCAGACCATTACCTTCAGAAATAACCCTGCCCACCCCCTCAGGAATTAAAACATAATTGTGCAGTGTATACAAACTCATTTTACTGAGTTATTTTGGATCTAAGTATAATGTGCCAATTACAATTTTNACGTTCCTCCGAAACGTCGGTTAACACCACATATACACGGTGCCAAATCCCAGAAGACTGCCTTCTTCATAGTCACCACCGTGAAAGCCTCAAATCTTACAAAGGAATAGATATATCAAATAATTACCATCCAGCCATGGTTGGTCCTTCGGTGCAACATTAATAATATTTACAATTTGAAAAATGATGCCAAGTCTTACTCACAAAACTAAATTTACTTTATCAACCCAAATCATTTGAAAAGAGGTTTATTTATACATACAACTGAGTGGGAGGAACTGGTAAATCTTTTATTCAGAGTGATGAATTGAAGCAAAAATATTAAAAATAATATACACATTTCTTGCTCACATTGTCTTAACTCTATGAAACACCATCCTACTAAAGAAGCTAAGAATTTCTCAGCTGGTCAAGGAACTTCCTGCTAATTATAAACCTTGAAGTTCACAGTGTTCACAAGCGTTTGTTACACACTGAGCTAGATCATTCCTATGTACCATTTGAGGTTCTCACAACAGTGGTTATGAAGAGTTCTACCTCCTAGGATACACTGCCATGTAGTTCATTGAAGGTCAACTGAACTTCAGGAGGAATATGTTGCCTCCGTCTTCAGGGCCAAAAAATGAGTCAAGCAAGAAACCAGCATGAAGCAGATAGCAAGCAGAGCTGTAGTTTCTTGCTTGGCTTATTCTTCGACTCTGAAGACAGAGGAGACATGTTCCTCCAAAACATCAGGTGACTTTCAATAAATAAGACATTATATCCCAGAAGAGAGAATTCTTCTAGATGAATCTTGTTCACACCTCTGTGCCCTATTTCTTTAAAATTCACTTTAAAACAAATCTACTGCATGTAATTTTGTTTCTTGCATAGTCTCATGGCCTACAACAAAGAAAAATTACATTCATGACTAAAATGGTTAAAGTGTCACCATGCTTAACTAATTAAGCACTACACCATGAAGGCATAAGGGGGAGTGGATGTAGAGACCCATATTTTCTTGAACTCGGTACTAGCTGGAGGTGAATTGTTAGCTTCACAGCCCAGCTCTTTTACCCTGAGGAAATATCCCCTGGTACCCATTGCGTAGGAGGCTAGGTGGGCCCCAGAGCCACTCTGGATGAATAGAGAAGGGAAAATTCTTGACCCTATGGAGACCCAAACTCTGACCCCTCAGTCATCACGCCCATAGCCAGTTACTATACCGGCTTCACTATCCCAACTCTTTACACTCATGACTATCTACAACAAATGACTACTGTGAATTTCTGCTTGCCAGCTCATAAAATCAACTCATTTCAGATAATTTTACATAAAACAGTTATCCTTACTGTGTAACACTGTCTTTTCCTCCAGAGGCTTATCATCCACCTGCTTTCCTCTCTTCTGTCGTTTTGCAAGTATCTCCTCTAATTCAGCAGCTTCTTCCTGTAATTAATAACAAGATATCAGCTATAAGAACCTCAAATATCATAATTTACACACATTAAATATTACGCAGAACAAAAAATATGTCCAATATAAGTTGCAGCCTTGAATGAATTCAATATTTTATGCCAGGTTACATTTCTTCATAACATGTTTTCAAGATAACGGTAATCAATTACTGAAGTTGATTTTTTGAATAGAAAATGTGCTTATTTGTGAAAACTGAACAGCCACTGAACTTCTATATGTTATGCATAATATAACCACAACCAATTATGAATCATGGAGAAGAGATTTGAATATGGAAACAAAGTAAATCTGCCATCCTCTTTTCTTTGGTAACCTCAATCAGTAATGGTACCTATTATAAAATGATCAATTTTTTGGACATTATCCACAGTCCTAGCTTCTATTTGAAACACTTCAGAGATGAGCCTCTCTTTCTGTCCTCTTGTAAAAAACAAATTAGCTGAGCTAGTCCCTGTATATAACAAACAAATTTTTTGAAACTTTTAGATCTCATATACCTGTTATAAAAATGAGACTGTTCACATTTCAAATTCTGTGACCAAAATGTATTCAAAATTAAAGACTCGTTTTATTTATGTCCTAAAGTAATACTGTACTCAAGTTGTACATATCTGTTTACTGTATGTTTAGCCCTCATTTCATTACTATAAATACAAAGGATTAATTTGGAGAAACCACTTCCTGCTATTGGAGGCCACCACATCTTAGTGTTTTCCCAATTTCCTGACAAAAGTAATACCAAGAGATTCTTCGCGCAAACTTGTAAAGTAAAATAACCTTTAGCACCATCCAACTTGAGGCCCTAAACCTATGCAAAGCCAACACTTTCTTTTAATTATACACCTTTCACTTGTTTAATAAAACAGAAGTACACCTTGGCAATCAAATAAAATAATTTTGTCTGATGATGTTCATCAATGATAAATCATAGCTTAAAAACAAAATATATATCCTGATGGTATAAACACACATCTACTATAGATACTAATAGCATGAAAATCTAAAGTCTTCAGAACCCTAAAATGCACCATACTAACAATTTTTCACGTTATTTCGAACCAATAATGTAAGAAAATTATGGTGGTCTTGATCTGTGCATGTCCTTGCATTTCAAAACAAAATCTACTTACTTCATTTGGTTTCATCACTCTCTTCTCATCAACATAACCTCCCCATGGGCCCAAAAATCCTTCAATATCTGATGGATTGTCATTTTTAATACGTTTCCTCTTGTCTGATTTTCTTTCCTTTGTTGATTCAAAGACTGTCTTGCCTTCAGCTTCCTTTGCTGCTTCCGTTGCTCCTATAAATTGTGTGGCTTCTTCAGGTGCCACTCCAACTGTGGGATCCAAAGCATATCCTACAAAAAAGGACAACAGAATAATTTCATAATTACTGCTGGTACTTCCACAGTGTATTGTGTAATGCTGTAATTCATAGTAAATTTAAAAAACTTATAAACTCCAGCTCCCACCAGGATAAAGCACATCTCACATACCCACACCAGTTTTACATACTATAGGAATGAAGTCACCCTTCTTACTATTAAAGAAGTAAATGCCATCTTAATTCAATTCAACTTTGTAACACATACCACTACAACATATACAGAATCATATCACTGTTTATATAAATTTTATACATGAATCTGGAGCTCTTCAAGGTCCCTGAACTGTATACAGGAATTTTTAGAACATATCATTTCATGTTAAGAGCTGGGGTAGTTCAGTGGGTATAGCGACTGGCTACGGGGTGGATGCTCAAGGGGTTAGGGTTCAAGTCCTAGTGGGGGCAAGAATTTTCACTTCTCCATGTCATTCAGACTGTCTCTGGGGCCCTTCCAGATGCCCATCCAATGGGTACCAGGGGTAAAGTGACCAAGGTGTGTAGCTGACCAATCACCTCCAACTACTACTGAGGTCAAGAAAAAGTTAGTCTATACATCCACTCCCCCATACGCCTTCATGGCTTAGTGCTTAATATGTTAAGCACAGAGACAACTTTACCTCTTATAATATCATGTTATTACCTCATGTTGTACTACATGTAGTACAAAGGTTCAGAATATTTTAGAACCCTTAGCAGCTTTACAAATGGATATTGTGCTTAAAAACCCTGATGATGAAACACTGTATTATCAATTAATTTATAATACAACACAATCAACAGATTTACATCATCACCACAGACCTGTAGATGAAGTGTCCCATTCAATTTAAGTCCCATTTGCTTTTCCTGGATCTTCCTATTGGCATATACTAAAGCAAGGTTAAAAAGCAATGGCAATAGAGCATCTCCTCGTTTCAGATAATTCTGAATAAGAAACGTATCACACAAATATTTATTTACCTAAATGACTTTACTATAGGTTTCATTTAAACACATTCTAATGAGCCTAACTAGCTTCATGGGTACCACAAACTCTATGAGAACATTCTACAGTACCTCTCTAACTGAATCACAGGATTTCTTGAAGTCTATGAATAGTAGATGCCCTATCTCATTTTACTCCGATTCTTTTTACAGTATCTGATGAATGCAAAAAACCTGATCAGTAGTTGATCTGTTAAGTCAAAACCTACACTGATGGTTACTACAGGATTCTTACGATGGTGTATAACACACAGAGATATTGGGTTTTTGGACTTTAGGTCCAGTGATTGAGGCTAGCTCCTTCTAAAGGACCCAACAGAATACGTGTTTTCCCTCACCTGACGACGGAAACAGATCCAGTTTCCGAAACGTCATGTTTTTCTTAGTTATCTTAAAAACCAGGACGATGGATAAAGTCCGAAAACCCAATATCCCCTATGCCGATGATTCCCAATAATTTTGTATATGGATAGACTTAACAATGAGCGGATACCGGATAAAATTTTATATGAAACATGTATATATAACAATTATGTATTGTATGCAAGAATTTGTTGCATTATTGATGGACTGTGTTATACACAGACGTTTTAATATGACTTGCAACAGGATGCTTAAATACAAAATGTTGTATGAAGTCAATAAAAGTGATGTTCTTTGATAATTACTACAGTCAGTTTTATCAGCCTCCTTGTAAACTGGCACAATAACAGACTCCTTCCACTGATCAGGAAATTCTTTTTTATTCCAAATAGAATGAATAAATTATCAATCTCACTCCATTATGTTTCACTTTCTGTTTAATCAGTTCTTCCAGAATTTAATCACCATGTGGTGATGTACATTCTTTTCAACTCTGAAATAGCAATTTCAGAGTCAGAACTAAGCTCAGGTACTAACGGCTAAGCTGTACCTATTTCTATCTGCCTAACACCACTGACCCTACGTACATTCAATAGCTGAGAGATGTAATTCTTCCACCTATTCAAAACGTTGTGCAGGTCACCATTCTGATCCCTTGCTAAGTTACCTGTACCTCCTTTAGTTTCTTGAGATTGAACCTCTCCATATGAAATTTGTGTGTTGTTTGTTTACTCACTGCCAATCTCTCCCTAACTTCTGCCACCACCACCACCACCACCACACAGTGGTCAGTATTGCAGTTTGCTCCCCAGGAAGACTGATATCTAGTACATTTGAGTGCCATCTCCTATCAAAATGTGGTTGATCTGACTGTGTGTTTTTCCATTGCGGGATGTTCAAGTAATTTTGTGTGTTATAATGTGGGAACATGGTACAAGGGAAAGTCTAGGTCACAAATGGAAATAAAACAGATGTAATGGACATACTAGGTTTTCTATGTGTATCATTAGGAAGCAGCAAAGTCCAGTCTAGGAAGAATATGTGCATGTTCAGAGGCTGGTTTCAGTAGTCAAAATGACAACCGTGTTAGAGGAGTGAATACCAAAGAGTAACATTCTGTTGTGCATTTTCATTTTTGGGCAAAAAGACTCGATGCAATGGACAGTCATAAGGAAACGTTTCCTGTTTATGGTGGTAAGTGTTTGTTGCATAAAGCAGTTCACAACTGGGTCAATAAATTCTCTCAAGGACGTTCAAAAGTTGCAGATGATGCCCGACCAAGTCACCCTGCTCAGAAGCAACTGTGCAGTGAGTGGAAGTACTGATTCCACCTCACATGAAGATAATGGTAGACAGTGTAACAACTGCACTATGATGTCCCCATGGTTTAACAAAGAGCACAATGCATTATAATTTCAAGTTTCAGAAAGTGTGCACACGATGGATGCCCCAAAAAACGAAAGACTGAGAAAAAATGAACCAAATGTGTCTGCCCTTACAACAGCTCTTATGGTATGCAGACAAGAGGAAAATATTCTTAAAGGGTTTGTTAATGGGGACAAATCATGGATGCATCACTACCAACCCCAATTAAAGCATGCTTCAATGGAATGAAAACATTACAATTCACATTCTCATTCAACCAAAAAGTTTAAGGTTATGTCATTAGCTGGGAAGATTAGGCATACCATGCTTTGGGATTCTCAGAGAGTACTGTCAGCCCATTTTCAGAAGTGGGGTGAAAATGTGAAAGCTACATCATACTGTGAGTTATGTCAAAGCTATGGGATGTAATTCACAGAAACGTCCACACCATCTGGCAAGAAGGGTTCTGCTTCATCATGACAGTGCCAGACCCCATACAACCTGAGCAACCCAGGAAAGAATTCAGGAACTACAGTGGGAACTTCTTGAACATCCGTCCTACAGCCCAGACTTGAAACCTTAGTGACTTCAATCCGTTCCATCCGCTAAAAATCACCTTGGTGGCAAACGTTTCACTGATGATGAAGGGACTGAACAGAAGGTACAGAAATGGTTGAGACAACAGTCATATACTTCTATGCTTTGGGTTTCAATGCACTGTAAAGTGATGGGACAGGCGTATCAGTGTTGGTGGAGGATATGTTGATAAATAAATGTTTTTCCAGGTTAAAATATAATATATTTGACATTTTATATCCATTTATGACCTATTTACTGCTTCTCCCTTCAACTTCTCACAATTTTTGGATGGGCAAGGTTTACAAAGTTCAAGTATAATTTTGTTGGGATAATGATAAAGTTAAAGTTGCCTGTAAGCTTAATAAACGGAGCACCATGCCATGAAAACATGGAGGAGTCGACATATCGCTTCATTCTTTATTAACCTTTGGCACTAGACAGCCTCTTACATCAGCTATTTAACACCAGCCAAAAAGTTCTTGGTAACCACAGGATACAAAGGTAGATGGACTACAGACCTTGTATCAGTGTTCAAACCCCATCCTGCTCAAACCCTAGTCATTATTCTGACTAAACAACCCCATCTCCTTTTATTTGTGATACTGCCTCAAAAACTGTAATTCCTGTTAGAATATAAGACTCATTTCTCATGCCTGGTTCTGTGGACATGGAAATAAAACATGATAATTGCTGGCCTCAACAATCTTTCCTGCTTATTCATGACAAGTGAAAAATCAAGGAAAATGTTTGGATTTATTTAATGATATTGTGTCTTAGTAGAGCCAGAACAGTGCAGTTGGTATAGTGACTGGTTATGGTCTGAATGACAGAGGGATCGGAGTTCGAGCTCTGGTATGGTCAAGAATTTTCCCTTGTCCATGTCACCCAGACTGGCTCTGGGGCCCACCTAGACTCCTATCCAGTGGATACTGGGAACTCTTCCCTGGGAGTAAATCAACCAGGGCATGAGCTGACCACTCACCACCAACTGATAACAAGATCACGAAAACATGGGGTCTATAAATCCACTCCCCCACATGCCTTCATGACATAGTGCTTAATTACGTAAACAGAGGGACAATTTTAACTTACCTAACATTCTCTCACTCGTTTTTTATTCTTCCACAGACAGTGAACAGTAAATGTGTTACCAGCACGCATATGATGACACATGCTTAACATGATACTGATGAGTTTTACCATAAAGATGGAGGGAAAAGATTGAAGTGAAACACAATTATAATGGTGAGGGTAGCATAGTTCCTCTTGTGGAGAAACGTCTGGCAAGTAGAAAGTCCGACTCTGTGGTCTAGTGGTCAGAATTCCTGGCTGCAGATCCAGAGGTCTCGGGTTCGATTCCCGGCGCTACCAGATTTTCTGAGAAGTAATGGGCCTGGAACAGAGTCCACTCAGCCTAATGAGGGTAACTGAGGAGATATCTCAAGGAAATAGCGGCTCTGATCTAGAAAACCGAGATTAACGGCCATGGGGATCTCTTGTGCGGACCATGCGACACCCTCTTTCTGCAAAATTCGGCATTAACTTCGCCGATAAGAGGCGGTCACTTGGTCGGTATACTTCACTTGCAGACTACAGGCCATGGAGTTAATTTTGTTTTAGTACAAAGTCCGTCAGACTGGTGAAATGAGCTGAAATTCCTTCAGCCCGGGTTACAGCACTACTTTCATGATAAGATCTGTTATTAACTCTGCAAAACACATAATGAAAAATATGTAACATTATGTGAGTCATCCTTGGAAGGAAACATGATGCCCACTCAGCTAGTCAAGAAATTTCCCACCTCTTATGAAACCAACAGGTTCAGTGCCATAACAAGAATCTTTCGCTGAACATTCAGTTAGATGAATCCAGTTCACACACACTCACACTATTTCTTTAATATCCATTTCAACATCACCTCTCCTTCTATATCCATAACTCTGGACACAAGAAGAAAGGCAGAAGATTCTGACCTGCTTGGTAATTAGCATTCCTCAAATTTAATTTATGTTTAATTTCTTCGTGATTATAATACATTTTGTTATAGCTATTTCAAAAGAGAAATAATGTATACTATCATAAAACATGCAACACTGACTTCAACACTCACTGTAAACAATAAGATGATAAAACACTAAAAAAATCTCTTTGCTGTATTCAGGCAAACTTATGAATAACTTATAACATGGCCTCTACTTACCGTAACTATTGAAAGTCCTACGCTGATTTTCAAACTGAAAGTCATTTATATGCGTCTGTTCCACAAAACCAGAAAGCATATTTTTATGGGCACGCTGCTGTCTTGTCTGAAAGGGGTTTTCTGGTCCTATCTCAGGTGCAAATAATTCCTCATATTTTGGATTAAACATAACTTCTTTTGTTGTAGAATCAATGTGTCGCAGAGATTCTACAGCACTCTGTAACAAAAAAAATGTTCATGTGTATGAGCTTTGAAATGTCTTCTAGCTAAAAATCCCAATGATCGTGCAGTTTAGAAAACAACTTCTCAATATTATGGCCATGTATTCCAGTTCTGTATGCAATTATTACTCTTATCTACTTATATCTCAAACTGGGTCACTTAGTTTTATTTATAGTTACCACAATACCCCAAACATAAAGCTAGTTTCTATTTTAATACTGCTCCTTATAAAATAGGGATCACTTTATTTTGAGTTCATTAACGGTAAATATGTAGATATTGATTATGAGGAGTTATAATGCTCATAAGTGGTTAAAAAGTTCCGTCCAGTGTGACTAGTAAAGATTTTTCTTATTTCAACCCTTCATCCCTTACATGTTTTGGTCTTTACAGACCGTCCTCAGAGGGATGTGTAGGTGTTCGTGGCGCACTGTGTATAACAACAGCGTGTCAAGAACACCTACAAGATGACATTAAAGATTTCTCTTCTCAAGAACTACAAGGCGGTAAACGTTTGGCCTCCTTCAAGAGAAGAAATAATAATAATAAAAAAAAGACATGAACCAACTTCGTTTACAATTTCCAATAAAAATCTTAACAAACTGGTTGTAAATATTTTAACATATTAAGACAGCTGCTGTGGTTGTTGAAACATCAGATTTTATATCTATTGTATTTTATCAACTTTATATGTATATATTCTGGCATTCAAAAACATATTGTAATAGTGGTTTCTGATTGTATTGATGTCCCTCTGAGGATGGTCTGTAAAGACCAAAACATGTAAGGAATGAAGGACTGAAATAAGAAAAATCTTTACTAATCACACTGGATGGATCTGTTTAACCTCTTATGATATTGTGAGTGTGACAGACCAGAAAGAAACAAATCAAGTTCTAATGATATTTGTGAAAAAACACAGAATTATATTTACAGTATTACGTTTTCAAATTATTGTTTCTTAATATTACAACTTTTAGTTCTTTTTATTACAACCCTCAGAACTAAATAACATATTCAAGTCTGCCCCCAAAAAGTTTTTCCTGATTTTCTCACTAGAAAAAAAAAGGGGATCAGTTTATGGTATTAGTATTATCACATAACACTTCAACTTGTGTAATGCAATTTAATTATCGAATAATAACGAGCGTGATATACCAGCTGTCATGGATTGAAGCAACTGTACTTGTCCTATATCATGTGTAATGATCCATGGACATGAAGTAAATAAATAAATAAATAAATAAATAGAAAAGTGGTCTTACATGCATTTATAACTGTTTCGGTACCTATGCATTCTCCATTAACCTGCCATTCAATAGCTGTGGTTTATTTTGCGTCACTGTCAGCATCTAGACGGTACAATGCCAAATGGTAGGATGACTTGGGAAGTTGAACAGATTAACAGATTTGGAATAGAGCGGCCACAGACTTATCGAGGTACTCACCAGCATCTACTTGGAGAGAATGCGGAAAACCATGAAAATCACGATTCAGGCCGGCCCGTGTCGCGACCGAGATTAAATGTCACAAATGCAAGTCGCGTGAATTATTACCTAGGAACTAACTCGCTCGCTACCAGAAATCCAATATTATTTTTATGATCAGTGCATTTTATATTTCATTACTTGAATTGATGTCTAAACTTACCGTAGGAACAACATCTGGAGCTGAACATACTTGCATCTTATTTTGTATTGATGTAATTGATTTACCATAACCTAATGGCTTCAAATGCGAGGTTATGTCCTCAAAATCTTCTCTATTTTCTGAATTTCCTTCTTCGTCACTACTACCATATTGTTGCAGATGAAGCATTTTATCTAATTAATCCAACCGCACTTAATATCAATGCCTCTAAGTTTGTATCATGTACGTTTAAAAAAACTCGTACCACAAACACCTTCGCACTTCCAGACTTGACACTAGTCTCTGCATACGCTGTATACTGCCATCCTGCCATCGCTGCGATCGCTGCCATCCCCTAGCAACAATTTGACACATGCGCAGTTATTATCTGTGCATTCCGTTTCTGCCATCTATATTCAGCTGCAGAACTGGAGCAAATCACAATAAAGTTGTCGTATGTTGACGCACAGACACTTTACTAGGCAACGCTTGCGAAACACACGTGGCCAACAATACAGGAGCACTGGGTTCTGTGGTTCGCACACAGACAGTTTCTCTGGAGGGTGCGGAGCTTACGTGTATACGGTGACGTCACAGAAAAATAGAAGAAGTGATGCAGACAAATGTTTTCTGTAAGTGGGCGCCGAGGTTGTGTTTTCTGCTATGGTCCGTGCAGGCGCCAACCTGCCAGAATATTCATATTTTTATTGGTTCCAGAAATCCACACTTTTCAATACAGTCTCCAGATACAGAACAAGTCAAATTATTTGTATAAAAGTCAACAATACTATAATATTTAACTACATACACAAATTGTGTACATGCCTCTTCACCAAATCCCTCCACGAGTCACAACAAGGAAACACCTGATAGTTTTCTTCCTGAAAGTTTCTATGTTGCTCAACAAGCACAGAAGGACACAGGTGCTGCAGTACATATTGGTGACATAGAAGTGTTCTCAGTAGCCTATGTCAGTGGTTCCATTGTCAGACAGTTGGTTCATGGTATCAGCTGTGATTCATGCAAGACATACCTGATATCTGAAGTGCTTCTGTCAACCAATATCATTGTATATTTCAAGGAGCACAGTGATACAGCACAGTCTCTCAGCTATCCTTCTGAGAACCTGGTGGAAACTGTTGGTACCGCTGTATTCCTGATGAAGTCTATAAAGGTAGAGGTGGTAGAGGTGGTGAGATCATTGGAGCAGAATATCACATCTACCATTAACAACAGCATTGACTTTGAATGGATTAGGTATACTGGCTGTTCACTTCACTAAAATTTACATTCCCTGGTGGTGTAAGCGAACAAACAGGTTAATGACTGAAGCAGCCAGGCAGAGGGCCACAGAGAGGAAGATGATGATAATGGCACATCAGAAAGTCTTCATTTTTTCCTTGTAACGTCCTATCCATACCAACTCCTGGAAGTATGTTATATAGCTATTTTATTATTATGGTTATGGTCCATTAGTCATTTTAATACTTTGGCCATACTATTCTGTTCAGTGTTGAACTTGTGGACATGTATATACTTCAGATTTTCAAGATTCATTTTATTTCTTCAGTTATTTATTATTTTGGCCACATTATTATGTTCAGTATTGAACTTGGAAACATGAGTATGTTTCAGGATCATAAGGATCTTCAGAGTTCTGCAATTATTTTATTGCTTTTCATATACTATTATTAAATGCAAATTTGATCTTGTTAACAAAAGTGTATTTCAGATTCTCCAGTTTCATCATACTACTGAAATGAATAATAAATGGAAACCCTAGTATTATTGCTTGCTACACATGATTTATAATACAGAATGTAGCTCAAAAATTATATTCTGTATAGCTTCCACCTGTAAGTTGTGAGCAAAGTTATGAAGTTGAATACAAGTATCTCTGAAGGAAACAGAATTTCATTTCAAGTTTACCCATCTTCAGCTTTCCCAGACACTAGTATTGTACGTAATAGTTCACAATGTCCATTGCATTTAGGGTAAGTGGTTGCTGGGTTGATGTAAATGAAATGTTCATACTTTACAGACATAGTAAGAAACTTTCTTCTGATGAATATGAGTGAAGTGATATTAAACTCAGTTCCTCTGCAGTATAAGAGGTCAGGATTGCAAATTTATTTTTAGCTATTGCGAACTAGTGATTTGAGGGGGGGGGCAGTGTGCATAGGCTGGTGGTATGACAGCATACCTTCTTACCGACCGTGCTCTCGGAACTGGCGGCTGCCAATCTATAACACTAGACTTTCAGCTGAATATAGTGGCAGAGTGATTCTTTCGTGACGTCACGACCGCAAAGTGTGTTGCTGAAGTGGTTCACGTAACTGAGATGATATGCTATTTGTAAGCAGGCTTAGGTGTCTCTTGAAACTATAACTAATTTTAAAATTTGATGAAAAACATTTTTATTTATTTTTCGAACTATCTGAACAATACTTTTGATGTACACATAAAAATGAGAGTTGTAGAAAATATAACATTTGACCGGACATGACCATTACCACTACAGCCAACGTCACTTGTTTTATAAATTTGAGGCAATGTAATTTAGAGTTCATTTACATAGAGTTAAATCTAATTGAATAAAGGATAATTAAATATTCTGTATTATAACGCACAAATCACTCCATGTACACAGTGCTTCCTATAATAAAATAAATTAATATTAGATGTTTCGTAAAGTATTGGTATCACTGGTTCCAAGAAGTAAAGGTTTGTTTCTGAAGTAAATTAAGTATATCATATTTTTCAGGTATAATTGTGCATTTATAGTAATTGAAATACCGATGCGAAAACGCACAGCAATGGAAACTGACCCTCTAGAGAAACATCACCAGAAAACTAATAACGAAGTAAGCGAGGACGATAGTGAAAGTGCGGAGGTTAAACTTCATACAGATAACCTAAACGTTCCAAGAAGTAACATGGACGTATCCCGTTCTTCATCCACATCATCATTAGCTAGCAGTTCCCAGAATGATGAACTTGTAAAGAATGGTAACTGCCCTGAAGAGACAGTAAGCAATGACTCCGAAGTTATGTCAGGAGAAATCCAGAAAATACCTAACAGAAATCTACCAGCTGTCAATGTTCCTGAGAAGATTATCCTTTGTATTGACCTTTCAGAGGATCCAAATTATACGCCATTTAAATTAGGGGACGGTACTAAGTATGCACCACTCTATATGATAAAGAGAGTAGCAGAAATTTTCATTAACAGTAAAAATATTATCAACAAAAGCCATGAATTTGCTCTGGTAGTTCTGCAGTCTGACACAGTTGCATGGCTTCGAGACTTCACAAATGACCCTTGTGACATCATATCAGTGTTGGAGGATATGAGTGAAACACAGCAAGGTGATACATTTGACTTGTCAGCATTGTTTGATGTTATATCTGATCATGTATCTTTGCCCCAAGTAAGTGAACCCAATGCAACTCCACCACCATTTGTTGTCAGAGTCGTTTTACTGTACAGCCGAAGTCATTGTGTTCCCAAGTTTGTTCATGGTCAAGAGTCATTCAGTCTCTTGCTATCATCAGACTATTTCACTGTGGACATTTTATACATTCATGAAGACCCTTCTGAAGCTAACAAATGTGAAGAAATTTTCAGTGTCTTAGATGACTTGGATGACAGAGGATTTTCGTATGTGCTCGATGTTCCTAGGAATACAACAAAACTGCATGACAACATGGCAAAATTACTTGGACATCCACTACAGCGACCTGTTCAGAAAGTAGCATACTACAAACTAGAGCTACAAGAAATTCGATGAGTGAACACACACATGCTACATATGAAGACAAATGGTATAAATTACAATAAACATTTGGTATGAAATGTGCATGCTTCTGCTGTCAGTGTGGAATGTAAACTAATTTAAATAGTCCAGTAATCATTAATGTTAAAAACATTAATTTATAATTCTGCTACCACGTAATAGAATGTAACATTCTTCAAGTCTCAAAGGCTGAGACTGTCACAATTAAGAGACTTAGTATCATACTGTAATTTGTAAAATGCAAAAATGTGCAGTCTGAGAGGTTAGGTGATCTGCAGTCAGATGTTTTATATTTGAGTACCTCAAGGAACATGAATTAGCACAAGAAACACTGCTTCTGCATGTAAGTTCAATTCTATCTGGTTTATTCATCTTTCATCAGTCTCTCAGATGACATAAATAATACTTTAAATAGGGCATATTGCTTTCTGTCTTCCCCTTGTGAAAACTTGCACATTCATTTCTATGCTTATGTTTCAGCATTATGTACAAAAATATTTTTGTACAGGCTTTGTTACTGGTAATTAAATTTGATGTTCATAAGAGAAAATCATAAATGAAAATTCTCACATTGATGTTTTTATAAGTAGTAAAATACAAGAACTCTTGGGGGCAGGGTGGTCTTTGAAAGCTGATAGTCACTTAGCTGCTCAAGAATCTGCCACTGGCCTCTGTCCTGATTCAAATGAATCCAGTCCTAAACCCACTCCTTCTTGAAACCCATTTTAATATTGTCTTCCAATTTATGCCCAAGTCACCATTCTTTAGGTTTCCCAACTAGAATTCCGTATGCATTTTTCATCATGTAAAAGCTCATTGCGTTTTTTTCCCCATCTTACTGTTACTTTACTTTTTAGGTCCAGACACATTCAAGTTGTGTTCTTAGGATAACAGACCAAGATCTTCACGCACATATGGAGCATCAGATAAAATTGTAGGGAGTTTCTGGTTTTTTAATTGGGAAAAAGAGATTCTGAACTGAATGGTAGTGAGCATTCCATGAATTTAATCTGCTCTTAATGCCTTCTTGAATGTAATTTTGATTTGCTACTGTCATTGTGAAATATTACAACTTGCCATATTGACCTACCTTCAGCTAGACATGAACATACACATAACTTTCATTTGCATTTACTTGTGGATATCTGTAAGGTCAAACATCTGATAAGAGCGTCTTTGTTTTTGGTATTTATGTCAGATCAGAAGCTGCTGTTTTTGCAAATTATAATTAATCTGAAAACAAGGAATATTGATATAAAGGGCCTTACAAAACAGTAAGAACACTGAAATTGAATGTATTTCTACTGTAATTTGTTGTCATAAATATTTGACATTTCTAGGCCATGTACCTTAAATGTCAATAAGATTGTTTAGTGTACTTATTTTGCTGTATTTGAATTTTTGAGGATGAACTGTTCTATACCATGCTCAATAAATATGCACACCATGTACAACTTGTGTTCACTGTATTAAAGAATAAAACTCAGAAAAACTGCCCAAAAACCATTATACATAATAAAGCAGGATACAGTTTCTGCTTGAGCTTGTGTGTGTGCGCATGCATGCGCACGCTGTCATTCTCACTGTTTCCATGAAAATTTGTAGTATTGACATATTTGGGTGGCAGATGTAACTCAGTTCATTAGTGGAGAAAGGAGGGCAGGAGAGAAAGGAAGAAAGGGGGTGAAGATGATAATGTGGTGTTGATGTATAATTCTGCATCAGTTGAATGCAGAATTTCCCAGAATTTTATGGAATCCAGAGGTTTATTTTGTGTTCACAAGAGTTCACCACTGTTCTGTGTCCTCACCGAGATAAATCTAGTCTACATTCTCCCATCTGGTACTTTAAGATCCATTTTAATATTACCTCCTATGTATGCTTAGGCCTTCCAAGTGGTGTGTTTCCATAAGTTTTCCTACCAAAACTCTCATGCATTTCTCTTTTCTCCGATGCATGCTACATGCCCCAGCCATCTCATCCTTTGTAACATTCTCATAATATTTGGCAAGGAATAACAATTATAATGTTCCTCATACAGTTTTCTCCAGTCTCTTTAATACTTCTTCCCTGTTTGGTCCCAGTGTTCTGCCCAGCACCCTCTTTTCCCTGAAATGCGAGACCAAGTTTCAGACACATGCAAACAGGCAGAATTATATTATTGCATATTTTAATATTTCTGTTTTTAGATAGACAGGGAGACATCAAATTCTGAATGGAATGGTAGCAGGCACTCTCCACATTTAATCTCTTACCTTCTTCATAAATGTAATATCAATTTGTTAGTATTGTTCCCATATATTTAAACTCTCACGCATTTTCAAAGACACTGTACAATAAATTAACATCATCACATAAATCAGAAGCTGATGTGCCACTCCGTTTCAGCCTTACTTGGCCCTGTTGGACATTTCTAATGGTGTACCATACAGCAAAGCTCAAAAGCCATATCAAAGAATCTTCTTGTGTCAGACTATTTTGAATAATACATGTATCAAAGAAATTTTTACTTACACTGACTTCATTACAGCTTTTACTGTAACACATTTTAATTACCTTAAGTAGTTTCACGTGTGTACCAAACCTAGTGAAAATACTATACAATATTCCTCTCCTATCTGATTCATAGGCTCCTCTGAAGTCTGTAAATAGCTAACATGCTGTCCCATTATACTCCCACGTCTTCTCCAGTATCCGGCATATGCAGAATATCTGATCAGTAGTTTTTCTGATGCTCAGAATTCACAATGACAGCCCCCAATAATTTAATCTACATAAGGAGTTCACCTTGAGAGAAAAATGTCAGATAAAATTTTGTATGAAGGTGATATGCCTTGATAATTACTACACTTTTATTACCCTTATTGTAACATTAAGATTCTTTCCACTACTGAATTATTCCTTATTCTAAATAAAATTCATGAGATTATGAATTTCAGAACATACTATTTCACCTCTTGATTCAATCTGTTCTGCCAGAATTTCGTAAGTGCCTGGTGATTTGTTGCCCCCCCCCTCCAATGCGGCAGCCTAGTTGGTCGAGGTACTATGCTACAAGCCAGAAGGTCGCAGGTTCAAGTCCTGATGAGGTCATTGGCTTTTCTTCAATTGACATAATCCTTCCAGCTGCACTATGGACCTGGGGTTGACTCAGCCTCTATCAGAAATGAGTACCAGGAATATTCTTGGGGGTATAGGGCAGCCGGCGCATAGGGCTGACAACCTTGCCGCCATCTATGAGCCGATTGTCTAGAAAATGTGGAACCTCAACATCTCACAACCCTATGGGCTTCCACAGCCTGTTACAGGGATACCTCTACTTTACTGATGATTTATACCTTTCACCTTCTCAACGGTATGGTGTAACATTTTTTTAACATGCAGATTTCCTGAAGTGAGTATTTGTTAGCCTCTTTCCCAACACCCAAGTTGGAGGATCACCCCTTGTTGGCTGTCTGCAATTGCTTACTGATTACATTCACAGCTACCTTTCATATCTGGAAGCCATTTCCTCCATCCACAACCTGAGTACACCCCATGCCATGGTGAGAAGGGGCCCACTTTAACATGGAGCAGCAGAACTACAGATTTAATCAAATTACCTCCTTTAAATACAGTGCATAACCTCTGACCACCCTTTTGACTAGAACACTATTGATTAAATTACTGAAAGTAATGTTGAAATAATACATAAAATTTGGCCATGACGACTTCCACATCCTTTCAGTCATCAATCACTAATCATTCTACCAGCTAATGCTATATTCTCTCAACTACTGACAGTGTTATTAAATAAACCATAAATAAGGAAACAGTGAAAGTCACACTGAAGTGTGTGTTTCAGGATTAGGCTTACAGCGAGATTTTTTTATATGGTTAACCATCTTGTCTTTACGACTGAATCTTCTGGCACAATTTGGACACTGGTGTGGTGTTTCTCCTGAGTGTATCTTTTGATGACGAAGTAAGTTACTGGCATGACTGAAGCGCTTATCACACTGGGGGCAAGGATATGGACGTTCACCTGTGTGCCTTCGCCTGTGTTTGTTTAAATCACCTGTATGATTGAACACTTTACCACAAAATTCACAAGATATTATTTTTTTTGTTTGACGTGTTGGTGTCTCTCTTTCAGCTGTTGCTTCTAAATAGCCAGTTTTAGTTTCATCAAATGTAACATGACTAGAACCACTACAAGAAGCATCACTAACAGCCTTGTTCTTGTCAACAACTTCTGCTAACAGTGACAATCCTCCATATTGAGAAACACATTGTTCACAGTGGCACTGTTTTGAGTGATCTGGTTCACATTCTGAGGGAGAAGAAAGATCCTGATGTGCATCACAACCTTGTTCCTCCTGTTGAGTAACTGTTAACTGTTTTGCATGACTGTATTCCATCTCCACCTGCAATAAATGTAATTTTTAATTTAATCCTTATGTATGGGTATAATATCATTCTCAGAATAAACAGTGATTATTTTCCTGAACCACATTTATGAATTACTCTTTCTAACAAAGAGGCAGCATGTGTCTTATGAGATAAGAAGTGAATTTTTAAATATTGTTTAGAAAAGTGACATGCGTCAAGGGATTAAGAATGATTGACTATATGATAAGATCAAATGGTTAAAAAAGTACTAGAACGAACTATATAATACAACAAAGCCTATGTAAAGATGTACTACCCTCCACACATTATGTATGTCACATAAATTTGTCTTACCTATCGCAGAATTCTTCATCTGAGGAGAAGCCCTAAAATTAAATTTCATGCTTGGGGCTGCTAAATGAAACCAAAGTCTAACCTAACCTCACACAGATGGCTGATGTTAATCACATTAAACCAGTTTATTTTCACATCACCGAGGTCTTTTGTATAATATGAAGATTTGTGTCTGAACTCCATTTATACAATGAGGAAGAAAAGTGTATCTTCACAGTATCATGAGCAATTGTGTTAGACGAAGTACAGTGATTATGCTGGATTATTTTAATTAAAATCGAAATTTAATCAAACATCATAAATGCATTTATTTAGTCACAGAGGGTTAATAAAACTAATCCATACAGCTACTGATATTAAAAATTTAATGGCAATTACCTCTGTATGTTTCCAATTCACTGGAACCTGCTGGGTGAATATTTTTCTTTGAAATACATTTTGCCCTCTTATGCGTTCTTGCATTAATTCAAAGCAAACTTCAAGTTTTGCAACACATTTCCTGCATATTACTTTAGGCAAATCATCGCTTTCCAGAACCTAGTACGAAGCAGGTTTAATTAACAACACAGAAACCACAATTTAAGCCAAATATTCCAGCATTCAAATTTGCCGCTAAACAGAATTAAACGGATTCAAATATACAGAAGTATCCCGTTACTTACAATTATTTGGAGACAGAATCTCAGCTTCAACATCAGTTTCCGGAATAATCCTTCTTCCCCGAACATAGAAATCAAAGCATTGCACTTCTGAGCACATATACGACAGCACTGCCTCTCGTCCCTGCTCATGTTGAAAGCCGAATACGTGCTACTACACGGCCATTCATACACTTTTACTACGACCTGGAATTTACTACCAACATATAAAATGTGAATTCCTCTATATCTAAAATAATGAAAGCTGAATATCTGAAAAACGTTAGCGCTATTTTAACACTGCTTCGTAGTTCTCATAAAACTATGTTACATTTGTGTAACGTAAATGCAAACATAACTATCTTTTCCACTCCATTTAGAAGAATAATTGTAATAAGGACAATTGCTAAAGATTGAATAATGTTGGCAATACATACGTCATGATTTCCACTTACACTTCAATCGAACGGAATTCCCCTCGGGAGTTCCCTATGGATTTCCCTGAACACCGGCTCCCAAGATAAACGGGAAACATACAGATGTCATTACATAACATAACTGCTGCAGCATAATTTCCTCTACAATCAATAGTGAGTGACTCATTATGGAAACGGGTACTTGACCTCATTCGTTCAACGTCGTGCATTGTAAAATAACATCCACGAATCAGTTTCTGAAAGTCGGGGTTAAATATGACAAACGGGGAAAAAGAAAGCAACTCAGTGCTTAAACATACAAATTTTACCGTATGCCTTTTCCTTCTAATGGTTAGAAGTGACGACTTCCTATTATTCTTATATGAACCTTGCTCTTTCGAGCATACTCGTATTTCCTCCACTCCATAAAATGTCTCTATCATCATTGGCAAAACAGACCTTTTTGAGCCGTAGCCGTCCACAGAAAGTCCTGCCAAACTAGTCTGTTCCGTCGTAAATTAGACCATCCGGTTTTCACTTCTTTGGATTTCGCAACAGTATTTTTTTTTTACAGAACAAGGTCGTCAGCCGTATGTCACACGCCAAATCAAGGGAACCAGGTCTCTGTACTTATGCCACCCCGCCCAGTGACAGGGTGGCTAAGTTATACCCCCAGGCACCGGGTTTCCTTTTCGTCGCCTTCTACAACTTGCAGGGCTGTATTGGACGTATTCTATCCCTCTCCCACACGGGACAATGTACGCATCTAGGAAACAAAAATTCAGGGATTTCTATATTAACAAATGTCCAATAATACATAAGTTTGTAAGAAGCGAGGTCTTTGTGCGCAATTATATTTTATGTTATCCTACAATTCTCCTCATTGATACAGCAAGTTGGAGAGAACATGGGAAAGATCGACTTTTGTTACTGCTGTTGCTCTTTTCTTTCACAAGCTTGTTCCTGGAGAATGTTGGCCTCAATGTTCGATTTCGACAGAGGAGCTGCCGACTTTCGTAAAATATGTGTAAGACAACGTTATCTTCTGAGCTTAAGTTAGAGATTAAATATGTTTTTCTCCAGTCCTTATTTCGAAGAAAAATGTGAAGCAAGGCAACTGTTGTGTATATAATAGTAAACAAAGAGTGCACTAATTTTTATTTGACTATTTAATGATCCTGTCAATACCAAGTCTGTGTGGCTTCGGACGACTGATGCCCGATGAACCGCAAGGAAGATAACGTGAACTAATTGAGGTATTGTGCCAGCGTTATCGGCGAGGGACTGAGAGAAAACAACGAAAAACGTCAAACAGGATTTCCGGTGTCCCGGAAGAGCTTCGAACTGAACATCTCCAAAATACAAGTTTAGAGTGCTACCATTAGACAGACTTGTTCGATTGTGCTTCAAATTAATGTACATATTCAAGAGATATATCATACCTTAGGGCTAAAAATTATTATATTCATGAATAGCTTTCGTGAAAGGGGTTATAGTTTTCCAGATCTCATGAAGAGGTGGAAGAAGAAACAATATTTCTGTGATTCGCGGTAGGCATTCATTACGATTAATAATACCCACAAGGAAAGAAAACCCATGAAGTGAAATTGCTCACTTTCTCCATTACCCGTATGCAGATGGAAATTTTGTTGTAAGATGTACAAAAATATTCACAATGCTGTACCAAAAGGGACAAAAGATAATGCTGTGACTTATTTTGTACGAATATACTTAGAAAAAGTTGCTCGAATATGTAGGCCCTATTTTAACTAGTAAATCTAGTTCATAATAGTAATAAAATAACTCAATGAAGAAGAGTCCGTGAGAAGCTAATCAAGTTCAGCTGCTATAAAATTCCCCACTTTTTATGGAAACAGAAGCTTAATTGCAATGTTTATAACGTACTCAACACTGGCCCACATAGTGAGCCAAATAAATCACGCCCACCCACGAGATATTTAAAAAAATTATCTTTCCCAAGTGGTACTTTATTTTCAGAATTTTTGCACATAATTAAGAATGCATCTATCTTCTGCCCCACGAGTTCTACATAATCATTCACCCCATACTTCTTAATCTTACCACTTAATATATTATGCCTATAATGTGAACGATACAAATTATGAAGCTCCTCATTGTGTGTGTGTGTGTGTGTTTTTTTTTTTTTTTTTNCATTTATTATGTTAATCTTTATGCTATTGTTGCCAAATATTACCATATTTTAGAAGCATTTGTTAGCTATATTTAGTTATGTTCTGGTCTGTATTCTGATGACATGGTGCACTAAAACTGAAAAATATACGCCTGTATGTAATGACATCAAGTGATCTGAAGGCGAGAATAGAAGCAAATAACAGATCGTGTGTACCTCAGACAATGGGCAATGTCCAATATTGTAATGTACGGTGGGTACGATGTTCAGTGCCTGAAGTTCACAGTTACTTTACTTTATGACACTATGAGAACTGAAGATGATCATGAACGGTAAGTAGTTGAAACATTTGCAAACACTGGCCAATGTAGATAACAACAGCTTAGCGAAACACGGAAAATAACCTAATGAAGGCCAACAGGCTGCAATAGGTTGCCAAATAGGAAATTGTATAATTTAATTCAGTTATATAAAATTGTAGGCAGTGCTATAGTTCAGAAGGTTAGTCGCCGTCTTCCCATCATGGCGGCCCCTGTTCGATCTCGGGCCATGACGTGTGGGATTCGTGGTGGATAAATGAGATTGGAAATGGTTTTCTCCGAGTACATCTGTTTTCTCTGACAGTTTGCATTCCACCAACTGTTCCAAATTCACCAATCATCCTATCATCGGCGCTGTATATGGTCGTGAAGCTCTTAGCGCCCCTCTTCCCTTTGCCTGTATACCCCTCCATTCTTCGACTGAGAGTCAGTAAGCTCCAGTTGGGTTTGCTTACAATATTTAATCTTTGTGATATGATGGAGAGGTATGGTTGTTAGTAACTGGCTGTGGTTGTGGTAGGGCTGAGATTTCTTCCTCAGGACGTTTGGAGGGGCCTCATCTTAAGTTGGGGAGAGACGAACTCGGTGCTATCACAGTCAACAATGTAAACACTAGTAATATATTTATTGATATGATAGTAGAAGCTTTTACGAACACACGTGTAAAACCATTTGCTATGAATACGTATTTCACTTCACTTAACATAGTTACCTGAACTGTTATGTATAATATTTTGTACAGATGTACAGATGATTTAGACCTTGTATAGATGAACCGCATTGACACAGTTTTTGCGGCCGAATAGTTTAAGAGCTGACAGACAACAGACTCCATAGACTGATCTCTCTCAGAACTCTGAGGTCCTCTGTCCATCGGTTCCTCTGCTATGACACTCCCCTAAATTCTACAGAGTGGGCATATTTGAAAAATGTGAGTTTACTACAATTCCTTAATCTCCAAAGAGTTAAATGCAGTATGAGACTTCGGCCCTTAAAGCCCTAACAGCGCTCCTGAGAGCTGGGTGGTGGATACTGCTCTTAGCGCGGGTCTCCAGCACGCCTCTTTTAAGTTTACTAGGTTGCCGTTGTCGCCCTTCAGATTTCGAGAAAACAGCAAGACTGATAAGTCGTTTCCTAAGAGCAGGAATGTGACTAGGTCCCGCTATCTTTGTCTATTATCTGTTACTGGTAACTAAAATCTCTGTATTAATAATGATAATTATTCCTGAATCTATTGCACGGTGGCGGTGTGGTTACAAAGAAACTAACTTAAACAAGAAGTTCTGGGAAGAACTAATGGCCTATTTCCCTTCGACGCGACACCCACACAGGAAAAACATGCGGCAGTAAGTTTTGCTGTATATGAAACCTGTATATCCCAGAGAGTCAGAGTCAAAGTTACATTTGCGACTGGCAGTTTACCACCGATCAGTTCTTTCTGGCGCCAAACCCTTTGAGATTCACGACCAGCATTTTCTTTCAATTGAACACTTGTCGTCATAGTCCTTTTGTAACATCCTCTCTAACGAGAGGATGGATCTGTCGTTTACGATTGCTGCTGGCCCTCGCAAAAAGCAGTCATTCTCAATTCCGTGGAACTCATGACCACATTTTACTGTCCCAGATTCGAAACTCCCCCAACCTGAAGGGCCAGGTACCCGTATTTACGTGTATATCCCCCAGGAACAGGGTGGCCCAGTTATAACCCCAGGCACTGGGTTCCTGCATATACTCGTATATGTGAATATGTTTTCTATGCGGTTCTCGGAAGACAAGGAAAGTATGCTAGTAACGGTAACGGGGGGGGGAGAACAGACAGCAAGGCGATCTCATAGGTCTCATGCTTACACATGCAGACACACAGGGAACGTAGGCTAGCAACTGGCCGTTGCGTAATAAGGATATCGGGGCGGGGGACACAGCATGGCGATCTCATAAGCAACATACCCACACACAGGGAAAGTAGGAGAGCAACGGGCCGTTGTCTAGCAACGATATCGAAGGGGAACACATACACACAGACACCAAGGGGATCTCACGAGCCTGCTAACAAAAATTATAGGGGGGATACACAGGTGGACAGAAAAGAAAGGATACATGATAGCCAGCAGCAGGGCTCTCTCTTAAGCCTGCTATCATATCTAGTAACCGAGAATACACAACATGGAGCTCAGACACAATATTTCACGTAAATCATACTTAGGGGAGCGGTCGTAACCTTTTTCAGTTACTATCGCAACCTTCGCCTGGAGAGACTGACGACAACCACGTAAATCTCACATTAGTTGAGACGGGTGTCTGCAGAATACTTGCCTAGATGCATGGACAAAGTTCTGTGATGTGGTAAGGCTCGGTTGTATCCGGACCTGCGCGTTAGAGGGCTCGCTTCTACCTTCAGCCAGCTCAAATTTGCGGCTTATCTGTTATTGCGTTTGTCATGTACGTAGTATGAGAAGGTTTGGATGGCGTGAAAAAGAATATCTCGAGATTATGATTGATTTACAGGTTTTCAGTACCCGTGAATACGCAAACATAGTGTACGGGTATATGGGAAGGAACTGGAGGCATGTGGAATGAGTATATCTCGTGATTTTGACGGATTTATGTGCTATCGGTTATGACGATATTTATTAAAGCGTAATAGTTTATAAATACAATACCCACTGATAAAACTGTATAGGTAGTATCTCCAGAAATATAACGGTATGTGAACTAGGGGCCCTAATGTTTGCGGAACACGTTATACGTCTAATTTTGCAGAATCAACTACCAAACTGGTCCGCTGAACAATAGTTGATTTCGATTCCAAGGTAAGATAGTAAAGGCCAATGGCATATGAGAAACAGGATTTACCTGCCAGACTTTTTTCGAGGTTCTTTGGTATTTTGTTGTATCAATTTTTGAATACCCGCATATATACGTTTTGTCATCTCTTGCTGTAATTACATTGTACGTACCAAATAATGCTAACTAGACAGCTTTGCTCCGCCGGGAGGTTGCGACAGTGCGAAATAACACAAGTAAGAAATGATCTTACAGCGCTCTTCGTGGTACTTGTTTTTTTTTTAACGTTAAGTGCAGCAAGCGACCGGAAAATTCTGCGTCAGCTACGCTTGGAACAAAGCACACCTAAGTACGTCATGTAGTCTTAGTGACGTCACTGAAGACGCCCGTGACAAAGTGTCTGACGTCACACCTGTGGGAATTCCTGGCAATGTTAGACGAAGAAAGTGGCTGGTGTCTGCCAATGCAAAAGGTGGTTCCCCTGGCTGTTAGTACTGCTTCAGAAGTTTCTCGAAAAGGTTCCACAGATGCAGATTTTGTGTATACTTCACAGTGTCGTTTCCCGGATGTTGCTTGTGAGTGTTGGAAAGAAAGAACACCAGTTCTACTCTCCGACCGTGGCTGTTCGGCGCTAAACTTGTATTTGGGAAGAATCCGAATAGGATAATGGATCAGAGATCGCTCAGTCGGTATAGTCACCAGATTACGTGCTGGACGACTGAGGAATCGGGGTTCAGTTCCCGGCAAGTTCAAGACAATTTTAGCTCCTCCACTGCACCCAGATCGGCTTTGAAGTCCGCCCAACCAACTTTTCAGTGGTCATGGGAACTGTTTCCTCGGAGTGACCTGGCCGAAGGGTGAAGCTGACCACACTTCCCTGAATGTAGTACCGAGGTTAAGAGTGCATGGAGTTATACCTCCACTTATTCAGACATCTTAATGGCGGGTGCTTAACTAAACAAAGGAACAGCTTTACCTAATACCCGAATCGAATTTCGACAACAAGGGAAGATAATAATTGATCAAATAATTGGTTTAACAGCGCGAAACCACCCAAACCGTCTTTAAAGATTCGTTTTTTTTAACTCATAGAAAATACTGGATCTCCACTATAAAACTAACAGGTTAAAGGTTTCTAGGGAAATAGTCGTTTTTTTACTGTGAGAATAATATAAAACGTGCATATTCACTTTGTGGGCAAGATGAAGAGAGTTATATAATATTATAGTATGCGGGCTCATGTAATAGTCACTTCCCATTGCAATAATTATTCACGACCATTAAACACGTTCAACAAATTAAACTGAAGCATAGAAATTATCATATACTCATATATTGCAGGGGGAATACATATAACGCTTTAGGGAGCGACAGGTTTCTCTTCAGGTAAATTACTGCTGGTCGTCCCCAGCACGCATTTTTCGTTCCGGGGCCGGCGGGAGTTAGGACCATTTTTTCTGTCTTACGACTCAGAGAGTCCTGCGACTACTCGGTCCTTAGTTACTTGGAGGCTGAATGTCATCTAGCTACTATGTAAAATTTCAGTTCTTACCTCACAGGAAACACTTATCTAAATCACGAAGATGAACCAGTTAATACTGTTTAGGGAAATAACCGCTGTTTGCTGGGAGAATCGTGCAAAACATACACATACATATACAATCTCTGGGCAGAGTGTAGAGTTTTAGTATGTTAAAACAGGTAGCACACTGAGCTTTAAAGGATTATGCGATGAATCGATTTTTTAATTAGATAACGGAACTTTCTTGACTGGACCTATAGGCTACGCGTAATGTGATGAAAGCAACGGCGATCAGCAGAGAAATCGCTTTTACCAGCCATGAAAACTCTGGGTCTTATATACACTATGGGGCCCATCTAATCGTTTCCACGATTGGGTCGTGAGTGTTGTTTGTGGAAACGTGGTTCACTGCATGAAAGTGAGGGTCACAGTGTATAGTGGGTTACACTATTTTACCAGTGAACATGCGTTGTTTTTTTTTTATTGCTAGTGGGTTGTACTGCGGCCACTTCTGGCTCATTGTAACAGCCCCAGATGACAGGTGAGGATGATTGTGGAGCAATTGGTGGAATGAAAAAATAAATTACATTTTTCTGATCACAGTGGCCGCGAAGTCTAAGGCATGCACTGTCTTCGCTTGCTCGAACGCTGGGATCGTGGGTTCGAATCCCACTCAAAGCATGGATATTTGTTTGTGCGTTTATTCTGTGTTTGTGTTGTCCTATATAGGTAGCGGCCTTGCGATGGGCTGATCACTCATCCAAGGAGCCTTACGAAACTGAAGTAGAAGATAGGGCCCAACAAAGGGCTATAGAGCCTTTGACGAGTTAAAGTACAATTGATCATGCCCTTAATTAAGCTCATCATGAGGATATACGAGTAAGTGGAGGTATGAATCCACATATTCTTATCCTTGGTACTAGATAAGAGTCGGTGGTCAGCTTCATGGCCAGACTGCTTTACCTCCCAGGGAATGGGACAAAGATACCCATTGGATAAGAGACTTGATGAGCTCCAGAGGCGGTCTGGAATGTCGTAAATCGAACCCTGATCCCACGGTCGTCCAGCCTATAGCCTAGTCACTATACCGAGTAATCTATCCTGAATGTTTTTCTGTGATAACTTGTTTGTACCTTATTTTAAGATGCAGTAACTGTCTCAGACCCCATGGTATATAGTGCCAAAAGCTATGATTCGCGAGTAATAATTTGGAAAGGATCTGGATGAAAGAGATTGTGTCCCAATTCAGGTACTTTCCCAGAATTTGCCTGGAGAAACTTAGGGAAATTACTATAACCTCAGTCAGGATTGCCACTGTCCGTCCGAAATTCAAACCGATCACTTTATCGAATCAGTTTCAATTAGTTTTGTACATGTATATTACCGTCTTAATCACAACGTTTATTTCCTGTCTCATTCACAACTTATCTTGCTACAACATGTTTCAGCTGTACATGTGAATCCTGCTAAAATTGTTTCACTGTATGTTCTATTTTGTGTCACACTCCTAAACATAATGTTAAATTTTTGGAATTATTTGTTCATAGAAATAATTACAAGTTGTAAAAATTTCATTGAAATATAGCCATTAAAATTTTGTTGCCTGCATTCGGTGCCATGGCGTTGATATTATTGTAATATGTAAAGAAACATATTGTGTTATATGTTACCTATTTTTGTTTTTACACATTTTCTTTCAATAGTTAATACACGTATTATAGTTGTGTGCATAGTTGTCTGTGCAGTGTTTATACTTGTATTTTATCTGTAATATGTGTTACATGGTAGTATTCAGTTCATTCATGCAGCTGAGCTCTTCTTGAGAAACCACCAATTATGCAGCTACAAAAGAGCTTCCCAGCATATTGTGACCGAAAGGTTCATTACCCTATTCACAAGAGCCTTCCACTTGTCCCTGTCCTGAGCCAGATTGATCCACGCCATAGAATCCCATTCTGTCTCTCAATCAATTTTAATATTGTCCACTCACCCACATCTTGGTCTTTCCTTCTGGTTTTCCCACCAATATCCTATATGCATTCCTCTTCTCCCCCATCTGTGCTACATGCCCTGCCCATGTCATCCTCCTTGACTTGATCGTTCTAATTATACTTGGTGAAGATCACAAGTTACTAAGCACCTTATTATGCAGTTTTCTCCAACCTCCCGTCACTTCATCTCTCTTCGGTCCAAATATTCCAAAGAATCCATCCAAGTCCAAGGCTTTTTGTAATCTTTTGTAACGAGCATAATTTTTGCTGTGAGAAGTTGTTAGCTCCACACTCAACCCCAAAGCTGGAGAAACACCCCTTGTTGAATGTCAGCCATATCTGGAGGCTGTTTCCTCCATCCGCAACCTGAGGATGCGACATGCCATGGTGACACGGGACCCACCAAACATGGTATGCTGTAATTATATAGTATATATTTTTGTGTTATATATTTACTGTTTGTGTTATAAGAGTTCTGTTGTACTTACATGAGTTGCGGTGATGGCTGTATACGGCACAAATACGTTATTGTACGAGAATATGTGTATGAGACAGAAAATAAATGTTGCATTTAAGACTGTAATATATACATACGAAACTGTAATATTAATGTAACAGGATGCTTATGTACAACATTACAACTTATATCTACACCAGTTCTCGATTGCATGGTAAAGGTGTTGAAACGGTGCAAACATTCATCTTAACTATTGTCAGACTGCTGGAATCCTCTGGAGTACAGTATAAATCTGGTATATGAAGCAGATACTAAAGGGCTCTGATAATAGTGTACTCATATAATGCTCCGGATTACTATGTGTCAGTTTTTTTTTTTTTGAGGTTTGAGAGATCACTTTGCCATCTGTGTGTCTTTGTGCCCCTGTGACTGCGTTTCTGTGTATCCCACCTATTTTCTTTTTTTAATTTTCTATGTAGCCTGTGGAATATCAAAGGTTAATATACAATTATTTCTTCTCAGAACTTCTTGTTGTAAATGCAAAACTTACCTATAATGATATTAACTTTTGTAAAAAAAATGATTGGGGAACATTGGTTCTCAGGCTTAACATTGAAAATGTTGGTTGATTTCATCTAATTTGTAAGTACCTTCAGGCATGTTATCCACATTTAAAAATGTTGGATCTATCTCAATGTTGTAGCGTTTGTACAGAGGGGGTATGTGTCAAATGTTCCAACCATCATTTTTTAGGCAATGTTTCGGTAAACACCGCCTGAAAGCCGGAATATCAACAAACAAGCAGAAGTCCATTTGCTAGACAATGGCTTGCTACAACCCATTCTCATGTCAACAGAGATTTAGCAAAGGTTTTCGTGCATATGAGGAATCTTGTGATCACCAGGCGTTTCTGCTACAACAGATACAGGAAACCAATAGATGAACTGTTTGGTGTGGTGGATTATATTAGGTCCTCTTGAACTTATAAAAGAGAGTTTATTTGTGAATTCAATTTATTCATCCATAATAGAATTCAGAAGGCAGTTCAATAATTGAATATTCAGCTGTGAATTGTTAACTTCATACACTGCCAGCTTGCCTGTAATATTTCATCATCCACTAAACAGTGGAATTGAATTAGCCATATAGCTTGCATTCATTAACATATTTCACTTGCAATACGTCCAGATTCTTCTGCAGACTTCGCTGTGCACATTTCCATAGTAACGGAGTCAACAATAGAACTTCGGTTACTTAGCAGCAAAGCTACCAATAATTACAAATTATTACATTTTCTGTTACTGTTTCATTCCTTTTGCATCCTCAAATTATAACGTTTTGAACGTAAACAAGCAAGTTCCAGTCTGTGTTCCCACCGGAATGGATGTACACATGCAAAATCAGGCACCAGTCAAACAATAAATACTAAATAATACTGCAGTAATACCACAGGTCTCCAAGCATTTAACCATTCCGTACGTGTACAAGGCAAGAATAATAGTGGTATATGTCCGCTGGAATTATAACAATATTATTGCAACAACAGACTTCATACTATGAAATATTACATGAATAGGTTTTAACAATATTTAATTGTATAACTTACATTTTTATAATAATTTTATTGTATTTTTATACTTTGTGTTATTATAGTGTAACATTTGTCAAGTATCCAGCACTATTGTACCATCATATTGAAATGCAGTTCAATAGTTTGTGAGTGTAACAACTATGTATTTGCCTGATGATGGCTTTGAAAGCTGAAACATGTATCTAAGGTAATATTGATCTCAATTGTCTCATTGTTGTGTTGGGATGGATTCTAATAAAGATTTTTGTAAACAGGCTTCCTGTCATCCATGTCCAGTACCAATCTTCACTTGCCTTTCTGATGGATCCTGTAAGTGAAAACAAATTATGTATCTGTATCGTTAATAAAGAATTGATCGTTCCGAGATCTGAGGCTGTCATAACAGTAAATATGAAAATAACTATCTTTTGGGTTGTTGTGACACCATGCAGTCTGGTAGAAATGCAACATCATTTTCCAGGAACTTGTTGCCTCCAATTTGTAGACTGGGTTAATAATGCTCTGCTTACTAAAGGCAGTAGGCTGCTTTGGTGCCCTAACTTCAGTACCCCCCAAAATATTGGTAAGTTTCTGCCTTGAAAATGGAGGCAGTAGTTCCTTCTGTAATGTTAGTATTTTTCTGTTGGACTAGGCAGTGTCACATCCCAGAAAATACATCTTTACTGCTGTCAATTTCCCACTGACAACACAACATGCCAAGGCTCTTCTTAAGAAAAGGAGAAAGACTAGTACAACAGTACAGACACTCGGTTCACACAAGGGCGTGTACAGGAATGAAAACACGGTCATAACTCCATAACCATCCAAAATCGGACACATGTTTATATGAACTTTTTTGATCACAAAGACCTAGGAAATCACCTCCTCTAGTTATGCCCTAAAGTCGTGAAACATCCTGTGTATATATATATATATATATATATATATACATACA